ATCTAGGCAGTTGGGTTGTACATTTAAGTGGGAGACACTCTGATGAGCACAGAGGAGTCCAATCAAGGGTCACATAGCTATCATTTACCACCAGGACCCATGCCCCAACCCTCCAAACTGTCTCTGCTGCCTCCTCTCCCTGCTTCTGTTAAATGACATCATCAACCTGAATCCCTAGCTAGAAAGCTCAGATGTTCACAACTGCTTCCTGGCCCCAACTCCAGCATCTCCAAAATGAACACCGAGTCCTGTTATTCTGACTTCAGAAGCATCTCGTGGGCCTAGGCCTTCCTTGGCCCCACTGCACCTACCTGAACAGGGAATAGTAAGCTTTGTTTACAAGGTCTGTCTCTCTGCTAGACTGCCAGTGCCGTCAACAGAGCTGTTCTAGTCCTGACTCCCAACAGCCAGCACGGTGTCTGACACACAGGCCTCAAAAAATTAGATGTCTGTTGCAACAAATGAATGAATAAGTAAACAGAGAAAAATAAGATACTTTAAGTGTGTCAGACAGTAGGAACCAAAAGTGAATGCAAAAATTATGCACTGTTTTTTCTTGACTTGATAAAGTTGTTTCAGGAAGAAAGAAGAACGTGGGAGAAGTGTGATGTGGCACAGATGGAAATATGGGAGGAGTTTTCAACGAAAATATTTCTAGCTTTTTCCCCTTCGATATATAAAACACACTAACTTTCTACGAGGCCAGTAATAGGTCCAAAGTCACCTTATGGATCAGAGACCAAGCTGGGTGGAATTTAAACCCAAGTCTTCACAGGGGGCTAGATGGTTATAAAATAGGTGGGGAAAGATAAGAGGACTACAGAGCTGAGGGCCTGAGAGGGGCAGGAATGTCATGGAGGGAGGGACAGCAGAAATCTGGAAGGTGGGCTTCATTGTGGGGCTGGAGCTTCTGATTTCTACTTGGTAGAGTTTATTCTTTACTCTGCCTCCAGCATCTGGGAGGGCATCTTTGGTAAAGGAAAAATGCAACTGGGCCCCGACTAGCCCAGGGAGCCTCTGTTCTAAAATCTCAAGCTGTAGATAAGCCAACTACAACACCCAGCGCTGCAAACAATTCTAGGAGAAGTGTTAAGTCAAAGACCAAGGTCAAATGGTATGAGCCTCTCAATGAGTGGCTTTACAGCTCTAGCCAACCAGATGGTCTAACTCCTAGGTCCTGTGGGGCCTAGCTCGGTGTCTTGCACAGAGAGTGTGTGTCCATAAGTTCATGATAAATGCCTTGAGCTGGGTGGCAAAGCAGCTGGGAAGCTGTAACCCTGCCTTAGTCTCCCAGGAACGGCTCAGGCCCATGCGGGCATGGACTCCCAGAGCCTGTCTCTAAGTGTGTATGTGGGAGCAGCTTCATGACTCAACTCAGGAGGGAAGCTCTGTATATGCCTGATGGTCAAAAACCACTTATTCATAGAAAGTGAGGCAAAAGAAAGGGGAACCATGCATCACACTCAAGACTCCAAACTCGGCTTCTCAGGAGCCATTAATACACACACGTCGTTGTAGGAGCCCCTCCTGTCTTCCTGGGTGCAACTGGAAAGATCAAGTCCCCTGGGTACTGGCTTCTCAAAATTCTAACACTATGGAATGGGGATAATTCTGTCCCAAACCTAACAGATCACATGTTCATTCAGTGACCTTTTATTTGAGATCTCATCTTCCTATGGGCCAAGAACCATTCTAGGGGCCAGGGATACACCAGTGAACAATACAAGGAGCTCTACTCTTTGGAACTTAATATTCCAACAGGAGGAGACACATAATAAACAGCATAGCAAATCTGTAAATTATGGAGTTGTCAGAAAGTGAATTGTGGGGCGCCTGGGTGGTTTGGTGGTTAGGCCTCTGCCTTCCACTCGGGTAATGATCCTGGGGTTCTGGGATTGAGCCCCACATCGGGCTCTCTGCTTAGCAGGGAGCCTGCTTCCTGCCCCACCCCGCCTGCCTCTCTGCCTACTTGTGATCTCTGTCAAATAAATAAATAAAATCTTAAAAAAAAAAAAGAAAGAAAGTGATCTGTGCTATGAGAAAAAGAAAAATTAGCACAGGGTAGAGGAGATGAGGAAGGTGGGGGAGGATGGGAGATAATAGTTTTAAATAGGGCACTGAGAAGGTGAGGCTGAAGCAGACCCGAGGGCGGGGAGAGGGTGAGGCTGACAACATCTGGGGAAAAACATTCCAGCCTTAAGGAACAGCCAGGGTAAAGGCCCTCAGGTGGGAGCGTCCCGGTTGTGTTCAAGAAACAGCAAGAAGGCCAGCAGAGCTCGCCAGGCATTCATTAGTTGTTCAACTTTCGTTCATTCATTCATTCATTTAACAAACACTCACTAAAGATCCACCTCTTTACCAGGCCCTGAGTGGTGAAAACACTAGTCAGGTATGATCCCTACCCACGGGGGGAGCTCGTCAAAGTGGAGACGCAAGGAGATAAAATGACCTTAAAAGAAGATTACACCCAGAGCTGAAAAACTGGCAGAAGTCAGGGACCTTCCCCAACTTGCAGAGTCCACTGAAGCATAGGAAGGACCCTCAGAGAGATGCTCAGCGACACCTGGCAAGCCCCCAGCTCTTGTTTCAACGCTACTGGCAATGCTAGCCATGTTAACCTTGCTCATTTCTTTTTCTTAGCTCTGAAAAAAGCCTTCCAAACACCAGATCTGTAAACAGAATCTTTTAAGATGCAGACATAAAGTGTCGGCCATTTCCAAGAGGGCCTCAGACTAAAATGGTAAATGCCAGATGGAAAGATCTGGGAGAACCCTGCTGGGGGCAGCCCAGGGTGGCAATGATTTAGGATGGAATCATAATGCCCCAAGCGTGTGTCCATTAGGGGTGACCATCAGATCACTCACATCTCAGCAGCTTCATGCTACACTGGGTAGGCTATGCCTGCATTTCCATGGAATTAGCAGCACCCCTCCAGGGCCAGGCTTCAGGCTCAAACCACCAACCTCTGTTAAGCAGACTCCAGTGAACTAAAATTTACATCTGGAGAATTCCATTCATCAGAGCTCTGGCCTGAAAGATGCTAGCTCTGTTTTCCCAGCTTCCTGACGTGGTACTTCTTTTTACGAGATGAGTCCAAAGATGGCCCTGCCAAGATCCAGGAAGCTCCCACCTGAAAAGGGCTCAGCCCTCCTGATCAGGGGCTGGGAAGCCTAGCCAAGCTAATCCATACTGGTTGGCTCCAGATCCAAACTGAACGATGCAAACGTGCTTGTTGGGTGTGTCACCAGCAACAGTCCCAAAGACCACAGAGGTGGTGAGCAGGAAGCTGCCCTGGTGAGTCCTAACCAGGTTCCTGACCCAGCAACAAGGGAGAAGTCCTCAGGGCCAAGAGGCTTCGGGGTGGGGGTGGGGCACAGATCCTCACTGCTCTGCTCCAGCATCTGCTACCTGGGAGAAACACGTTCCTGGGCCTGCACCTGCAACGCTACCACCAGCATGGTGCCATCACCACCAGATGTCCATGGCCCTTCAGTCTGTCTGCAATGAGACCACCTTACCAGGCTATCTTCCACTTGGACTTCTGTTACTCGAGTTCTTCTCAGTTCTGATGCTCAGATTCACTCTGTCACTCTGAAAAAGGGAGGGTGCAAATATCCCACTCCGGCCCTGACCAGAGCATCTTTTCAGAGCAAACCTGGCAAGGCCTGCTCCTACCTATCCCAGCCCAGCCTACCACCACTGACCCATTCGGTTCCAGGCTCTCCCCTCCTGTCGTGTAATAATCGATTGACAAGCACCTGAAGCTTGCTCCCTTGCTGGAGTGCAGAAGTCGCTCCCAGCCCTGGGCTGGCAGGCTGCCTTAGCCGGCAGGAGCTCTCCCATGAAGAAGGGAAGCAAAGGCCTGGATTTAAGATGTGCTCCCTTCCCCCAACCCCCATTCCTTTATAAAGAGCTTCCCTTTCTGCCTCCTCACTCCTTTTGGCCTAGGAGGGTTTTACTCCATAATTGGCTTGTTTACCACCACTGAAGACTTCTGAGTAGCAAAAGGTGGAAGGAAAGTTTTGCTGGAAGTAAAGGAAAGGGGTGTGTGCCCTGAGTTTTGGGGCTGATGAGTAAAACCTCCGAGTGCCTCTCTAACTACCTGAGAACTGGCCAAGAACCCATGTGAGAGAAAAACACAAGGCACAGCAAGGCCAGCTGAGGATTTCCAGCCAACCACAGGAGGGAAGCTGATGTTTGGCGCCTGGGAAAAGACAGAACAATAACCAAAACTTGATCTGCTTGCTTCTGCTGAATAGTCGAAAGCATTACTTGGCACTGTTCTGAGTGGGGAGCCAAACAGAGACCTCTCAATTCAGCTTCTGTGGGTTAGGAGATCTCTCAATTCAGCTTCTGTGGGTTAGGAGATCCAGAAACATCACTCTTGCTCAAAACTTCCAACAGCTCCAAGCAAATGCGCTGCCCTGTCTTCCCCAAGGCCCCAGATGACTCAGCCTCTCCCCACTGACCACTGACCACCGAGCAGCTCAACCAAGCTCCAATCCAGCTCAACAGGACCACCTGCTAGGCCCAAAGCACATCCTTTGCTCCTTGTGGGGATTCCCCTGCCTTGGGTACCAGGTGTCCCCACATCTTCAGGCTCTCCTTCAATGCTCCCTCCCCTGTGACGGTTTTCCCAGGGCCCCATGGCACCCCAATCAGATGTGCAGCCCCACGCACTAATCTCTGTGGCCTCTTTGAAGGTGTTAGCCTTACTCCGTGCTGCTTCAGTAGCTCCCTGAGGCCTTGCTCTATCCCTCCAAGTGCACAAGCCTGTCTCAGCTCTGATTCACCTGGCGCACAAAGCACAGTACCTGGCAAGGCGGCAGATGCTTACGAACTGATCCCGCTGCCCCAAATACCATCCACCTCAGAGGCACAGAAGTGATGGGCAAAGGGACAGTCACACCAAAAACACTAAAGCCAGCTGACACAAAACAGGCAAGCAAACGACAGGCGTCCCAAAGCCAGCTAACGGGGAGAGCTCCATCCGGCCTTACCCTTCTTGAACTCCTCCAGCATGGCATCCAACTTGGTGTCGTGGAAGACGAAATGCACTGGGTGGTTATAGAAGCGGGTGATGGTCTTGAGGGGGGTGCAGTCATCAGGGTCCACGAAGGCCAAGTCTTTGACATAGAGGATATCGACAATATTGGACTGCTCGTCTTCAAACACAGGGATGCGGGTGTAGCCGCTCTCCATGATCTCCGACATGGTATTGAAGTCCAGGATGGCATCGCTGCGGATCATGAAGCAGTCTTGGAGCTGGGTCATGATATCCTCCACGGTTTTGGTCCGTAGCTCCAGGGCACCCTGGATCATGTTTAGCTCCTCTTTCACCAGGTCGTTATAGGGCTCCGTTACCTTCAACATCTCCATCAGCTTCTCCCGGTTGTAAACGGTGCGAATCTCCTGGCCCAAAACAAAATCCAGGAGCTTGCTGATGGGGAAACTGAGGGGGAAGGTGAGTAGCATAAAGAATTTGGTGAGGATGATAGTGTTGGCACCCACAGCCAGGCCATGGCGGGAGCACAAGGCCTGAGGAACAATCTCCCCAAAGATGACAATGCCAATGGTGGAGGAGGCCACCGCCATGAGCCCAGACCCGATGAGGTTGTCTAGAAGGATGGTGAGGGAGGTGTTGACCAGCACGTTTCCCAGAAGCAGAGAGCAGAGTAAGTAGTTGCCCTTGCGCCGGATGGGCTCGATCTTGCGGGCATAGCGTCTCTCCTTCTCGGTGCCACAGTTCTGCACGATACGCAGCTCCATGGGGTCCAGGGCCATAAGCCCCAGGTTGAGGCCAGAAAACATGCCCGACAGCACCAGCAGCACCGTAATGAGGAGGATGTGCAGCCAGAGGGGCAGGAACCTCCCAGCCTCCTCCACCATGAAGAGCAGCGAATCCTTATCGGTCCACCTCTGCCAAGGCCCGTTCACCCCGGCCCGGGTACACAATGCATACAACTTCATGTTCTCGCTTCTCCGGAGGAACTTAGTGAGCACCACCAGCATCCCGGACGTGTTCCCGCGGCTCACGTTCACCAGCTGCTGGACGACCAGGTCCTTGGTGAGCTCGGGACAGTTGGTGGAGTTCTGGATCGCCTCGAAGTTGTCCACCTCGGTGAAGGAAATCAGGTTGCTGGAGAGGGAGCCCAGCCTCTGGCCGTACAGCCTCAGGTTCACCGTGCTGCCCTCGGACACGAAGATGATACCCTCCGGGTTCATCCCACACGATTTGTTGCAGCTCGCCAGTCTCATGCCCAGGATGGCGCCCCACTGGGGGTCGCCCTGGCCCCGGGCCCCCCGCGCCCACATCAGCACCAGCAGCAGCAGCGCGGCCAGGAGGAGGCGCCCTCGGGCCGACCCCCCGCCCGGGCGCCCGCCCCCGCCCACCGGCGCCATGTTGCTTAGGCTCGGCCGCCGCTCCCCCGCGCCCCGCCGCGCGGCCCGGCTCCCGCCGCCGCTCCTGCCGCCTCGACGCCGCCGAGCCAACTGCCCGGGCCGCCGGCCTGACGTCAGGTCAGCGCCCCGCCCGCCCCGCCCCGCCGACCCACGCCCCTCATTTGCATGGGAGACCCCGCCTCCGGGCGCGCGCCTCCAGTGCCCGCCCTTAAGGGGGTCCCGAGCTTAAGGTGGAGCGGCGCCGGAGCGCGGGAGCCAAGGGCGGACGTTCGCCCCGCCCTTCTCCTCGAACGCCTTTTCCCGCCGGCCTTTCCGCCAGATGGGCGTCGGTTCGGCCCGCTCTCCTCTGCCTGGCCTGCTTGCCCGGCCTCGCCGCTTCTCTCCTGCAGTCCAGCCGGGCGTTGCGTGCTGGGCTCCTTACCCAGAAGATTGCTGCTCGGGGCAGGGTGGCCCTTCTCTGTAGGCACCTCGGAAGCAGCGCCGCATTGTGCCTGGGGTGGGGGAGGAGGACAAAAATGCTTTTCCTGATATAAAAAAGAAAAGGGGAACCTGAGGGCGGAGGCCTTCTTCAGGTTCACCGGCATTGCAGACTGTCCCGTGGAGATTTTTCTGGCCTGGGAGTTTTGCTGATCTGGGGTCCCAAGGCCAGAAGTAGGTACCCCCAGGCCCCTTCGGCCACGGGCTGCCTGGCTGGAGGAATCTGGGGAATTAAGGATATAGAATGTCCTCGCAGAGGGAAGTGCCAGAGTCTGGCCTAGGCTCTTCTCACGTCATTTCTGTTTAGGAAACAAATATTGAGCACCTACTATGTGCCGGACAGGCACTTGTTCCAGGCTCTGACGGTATAGCAATGAATAAGCCAGAGTCCCTGTCGCCTTTTTATAGTCCAGAGCAGAAAACAAACCATCAGCAAGCATCCTTTGAACAACCCAAAGAGGTAGTGTTATTTGTCCCTATAACAGATAAAGAAATTGAACCTAGGTACAAACTGGGTCCCTCCACATTGCTATTTTAAGAAGAGAAATGTGTGACTGGTAAGGCACATGGGAGTGTCAGGCCCCATTTCTGTCTATAAAAAGGGGATAAGAACACCAAAAAGGCTCCACCTCTCCAAGCTTATGGGTACAAGTGGCCTAGGCACTGAACAGGACAGGACAACCCTGAATGTTCTAGGTAGCTGGTGTTGTTAGCTCCTCGACCAGACCAAACCCCTAACCCCAAATTGTGGTGGTGACTGGCCAGCCAGGGCAGATGCCTGTGAAAATGAGCTGAGAGGTGTGGCGCCAGGCCTAGCCCTGAAATGACTGCTTCCTGGAAGGCCCCATGTTGGTGTCAGTTAGCAACTATGAATTGAGCCCCAAGCACTCAGGAGGTGTGGGGAAGACCGCAGCCACCTTGCCCTCAGGAGGAAGGAGACAGACAGACAAGACAAACGTCCTTACAATAATTGCAGGGGTGCCCTGAGGGGAGAATCAGGTACCCGGTTGACCACTGGGTCTCAGAGCAAGTTTTCTGCCAGCCCTGGAGACACAGAATCCATTTTACTCTCCCTGCACAAGCACTTGTGCTTTATTTTTATCGTGGTGTGTTGTTTGCCAATAAAAGCAACGATCAATACCAGCCAGAAAGAGCCTAAGCAGAGAGGAACAATTACGTACAGTGTCATGGGGGGAGATGTGAAGGTAAAGAGGCCTGGTTTAGCTGAGCACTGTTAGCAGGGGTGGAGGTTCTGCCTACTAGGCCAGACTGAAGCAATCCCTTGCAGGTAGGTGCCTCACTCCCTCTTGCACAGCAGTATCTAGCCAGCCAATTTGGTAAGGAATGGGAGCCTTGGGATGGGCGCTGGCTAAGACAGAACAAAAGCAGAAAGCAGAACCTTTGACTGTCTGTTCCCTCCCATCCCCCACCAGGAGCAGTCTCCTGCATCACCTCAGAGCAAGCCAAGCTCTCAGAGAGGTTTCTGCCCACCCCATATCATCTCTTCCCAGCCAGCTTTAAGACTAATGCCCTCCCCTGTGGTACTTAGAGACTTTACCGTTCTATTATCGACCAATCGGCTATTCTTATTTTGCTCTTTTCAAACTGTCTGTGCTCAGAAGCTCTCTCTCTATGCACTGAGTCCAGTGACAGAAGCCAACAAAGGGGAGGAAGAAGCTTTTGAGATACTTGGATTAAAGTGGGAAGGGTGGTGAGGGTCTGGTAGGAAGAATTAGTCTCTGCTAAAATTCATTTAATTCCACCCATCCACCATTGCATTCACATCCACACTTAGGGAATAGAACAGATTCAAGGGGAGCGCCTGGCTGGCTCAGTAGGTTAAGCGTCTGCATTCAGCTCAGGTCATGATCCCAGGGTCCTGGGGTCCAGCCTCACATTGGGCTCCCTGCTCAGGGGGGAACCTGCTTTTCCCTCTCCCTCTGCTCCTCCCCACTGCTTGTGCTGTCTCTCTCTGTCAAATAAATAAAATCTTGTTTAAAAAAAAAAGAAAGGGGCACCTGGGTGGCTCAGTGGGTTAAAGCCTCTGCCTTCGGCTCAGGTCATGATCCCAGGGTCCTGGGATGGAGCCCTGGATCCGGCTCTCCGCTCAGCAGGGAGCCTGCTTCCTCCTCTCTCTCTGCCTGCCTCTGCCTACTTGTGATCTCTGTCAAATAAATAAATAAAATATTTAAAAAAAGAAAAAAGAAAGAAAGAAGGGAAGAAAGAAAGAAGGAGAACAGACTCAACGAAGTGAAGAAATGAAATCCTTTATTGCCCACCCAGAACCTTTAATCCAGCAGAGGGGACAAAGAATCTTTCCACCAAAGTTAAAAGCACTGTAACTTGGAAAATGTCTGAGGAGGTATTTGAGGTCCAGACTAGTGTCCAGGTTCTTTCTCTGCTGGGCTTTTATCCCTGAGGAGGGCATTTAACCTTTCCTCATCTGCAGAGTTGAAAAACCCTTTTCCAAACATGGAGATGGAAGTCTATGTGTGTGAAGAGCCGGGAAGCCTGAACAAGTGTGTGGCTTCCATGAAACAGGTGATGAGAACAGTAGAAAGTGATGTGCAAATGAGAAGTCTGTCTCCTTTGGGGGTCAGACCTGTTTCTCTGCCTCTGGGTGGAAGCTGTTTACTAACCTGAGTTGGCTCCATTTGCAAGGAAGGACTTTGGTGAAGGTCATTCTCAGTGGCGTCTGATACCTGACTCCTGAGAAGCTCAAAGCACTCCTTTCATGACTTTGGGACCTGACAGTGTCTTCCTGGGGTTTATGGCAGCCTGTACACACTCCACAGGGTTGAGCCCACTCCTTTTGGGTCCTGTGCAGGGAGACAACCTTAAAAGTCTGTTGCCCCTTCTTTTGCACCTGGCGTGGTGTGATGCAGAGATTCCCATGGTGCATGAAGTCCTGAATTAGTAACCTGGGATTTCCAGTGCCCTCCCCAGGCTGTGATCCTCCCAGGCTGCTTTCTTAGTCCTCTTCAATCTCTGGGTGTCCAAGAAGGGGAGCTGCTGCTGGAGAGGTTGCCCTTCTGTTCGCCTGTGGCCACCATGGCCCCACAAGTCTTTCAGAGGCTGCCCAGGTCCTGGGGTTCAAGAGCCTGGTTGGGAGCAATGCAGTGGCCTATTCCCCAATGGTAAGTCTGCAGTAACACTGAGCATTTGCAGGTTATATCTGTGCTATTACGTTGTCTTGGGAGAGGAGGGGCCATCATCCCTCCACAGAGGGACAGCACTTTTAAGCATGGGATTAGCTGAGATGGTACCTTGGCTCAAATCCCAACTCAGGTCACCCCAACAGGTGGGGCATGAAGACCTGGTGTCATTTTCTACATGAGACAGGGGAGACACTTCTTTAGAGAGTGTCATCAGATCAGGGGATCCAAGACCATCCAAGCATGTGCCTGTGACAGGAAGTGGAATGCCAGAGTAGGAAAGGGGAGGAAGCATTTGTATTAATTGGGTAGGCTCTATCAACTGGGAAGGCTCCATGGCCAGAGGACAAATTGTTCTCCTTTGGAACAGGACCATAGGAGGCAGGATGCTCCACCGTGGGGGTTCAGGCACAGCCAGGGAGGCTCCCTGTGCGGCCAGCTTGGCCAAGGATTGCCTGTGTGACCTGTGACCTGGGATGCTGGGACATTCTGGAATGCTAAATGAGATGATGCCTAGCTCATGGTGAGAGCTCAATCAACATGATCAGTAACCATGATGGTGATGGACATGACACGGCTCCGATTTTTAGAGGACACTCAGATTTCTTTAGTTCTACTGTGTCTCCAACCAGCTTGAGCCACTGTCTTCTTGTTCTTTCCCTTTCCTTGGCTGCAGAGAGACAAAATCTGTAGAGGATTGTAGGGAAGGAGAGACCAAACAAGACCATATCCTGGACTCTTTGGGCTTCTGTGCTGAGGGAAGCAAGAAGGTACAGGTAGAATGGCTGGAGGTAAGACGGGGTTGTCACAGTGCCTGTGGGCTCTGGGGGCTCAGGCTGCAAAGGCTGGAGTTGGAGAGAGGGAAGCTGGCTCAGATCTAAGAGACCTGATGACCCACGAGGCAAGGGCTGCTGGGAAATCCCCACTTGCAGCAGGGTCCCCGTTGAGGAGGGCCAGGCAGCACCGGCACTGTGCTGGGAGAGGCCCGGTGGGCCCAGGACTCTGCCTGCCTGTTTCTCTTTCTGCTTCCCTCCACCTCTCTTGCACCGGAGCCCCGCCACCCCCACCCCTTTGGCCACCCTCCCCCTTTCCCTGGACTGGCTACTCCAGCAAGCTTTTCCTTCACCTCCCAAAACACAAAGACCCTTTTTTATGTTAAGAGATTAACTGTTAACCACTGAAGAAAAAATAAGGAAGAACAAGATAACAGACACCTGAGTATTTACAAAAGCTTAAGAATAAAGTTCTTGGGAGTCATTGTCCCTAGTTTCTGACCCTTTTTCTTAGTTGGCATATGGAAACAGACTGTAGCAGAAATGCTCCGGGCTCTGTCCCTTACCAGCTGGTGAATTGGGGCAAAGTGCTTCA